CCCAAGAGCACCACATGCACCAACCCTGCACCCCAGTGCACACTCAGACCACTCCAGTCTCTCCCTCCTCATCCCCAACATGTCTCTTCTCCCAGGGCTGAAAATTCCCTAGGTGCAGCCACCAGCTCCGGGTGCTCATTTTGGGGTTGCCATGCCCCAGCCCTCCTGCCAGTGTGCAGCACCACTGGGGCTTCCAGCACCGTGGGGAGAAAAGGAAGCCACAGGGGGAGAAGAGCAGCCCTCAAAGCCTAATTTGCCACCCCCAGGGATGGAGAGTGAAGCTGGTGCTGTTGGAGCCAGACCAAGCACCCACGGTGTGCTCTGGGTGCCAGGGCAGCTCTGCCCCACACCACCAATATGCTGACAGGACTGGATTGGGGGTACTCATGGGCATCAGGAACCAGCTGGGGGTCAGGGTTGGTCCCAGCACACCAGCAGCATCCCAAGCCCCCGTTTCAGCCCCAAAACCAGCACCGTGTGGCACCCCCCAGAGCAGAGCCCCCCTCCCCCCCATTACCAGCTCCATCTGCCAGTGGCTCTGTGAGGAGGATGAAGGGAGAGGTGTTACACTGGGAATGGGGGACACATGCACCCCCCAACTCCCTCAACCCCAGTCAGGCCCCCTCTGATGCACGTTGGCAGGAGCCAACCCAGAGACTGGGGTGTTCAATTCCCACCAGTTAATGGGACCACCCTAGCCATGGGGACAAAGTTGGGTGCCACAGAACACCCAGGGTGGCAGGGTGAGCCACCCTGGGCTGACACAGCCCCCCACATACCCCCAGGACTCAGCTGCACTGGGGGGGGCTGTTTGCAAGGTGCCCAGGTGCCAGCAATGGCTCTGGGACCCCTTGCATTCATCAGTCCCAAACCTCCACCCGTTAATGGCTCCCAGCCTGGAGAAGCTCATTACCTTTGGTGGCCCCAGCAGCTCCCAAGTGGTAAATGGCCCCCAGAATGAGCCAGAAGGCTTTCTGCTCATCACCCGAGATGCCCATCACCTTCATGGCTGCCAGGAGCTTGCTGAACTGCTGGGTCGCCTTCTGCTTTTCCTCTGGCTGTGGGAAACAACAGGAGCCATCAGTCTGGGAGCCCGGCTCTGCCTCCCCCTGCACTCAAACGGGTCAGAGACCCCTGTCCCTCCCACAGTCTCCCATGGCAGTGACCTTGGAGGGGGGCACAATGCCAAAGACGTTGTTCTCTGCGAGGTGGTTGAAGTGAAGCTCAGTCCTGTGGGGATAAACACCATGATTGGCTCCATGTGGAAGACCCCAGAGACCCCCACGGGCTGGGGGCTGTGCCCTCGCCCCCCAGCTCACCGCAGGGTGCTGTCAGAGCAGGCCAGCAGGTAGTAGAAGACGTTGAAGGTGGCCTCTTTGGCCGGGCGCCTGGCCACACGCAGCTTCTCCAGCAGCAGTGTCTGGAGGAGGTGGGAGAGATGGGAACTGTCCCCAAGTGCCCCGCTCCCACTGAGACCCTCCAGCCCACCCTGGTCTCATCCTTGCTGCCTCCCCAGGGTCCTCACAGAGATGTGAGGGTCTCCCTCCCACCACAGGGCACCATGTGAATGCAATCATTCAAATAGCTCACAAGCATCTGCTCTCTGGTGAATACTACTATAGTAGCATGGACCAGCTCTCTTGGACTTTAAGGGCTCTGCTGTCATCACACCAGAGAGGCATCTGGAAGACAGCCCCTCCGATTTTGGGACTAACTCAGCAGGGACAGGGAGCCCATCTGACCTAGGTGTGAACAAGGACAAGAGAAGGATGCCAGGCTGCTGAGTGCTGCAAGCATGGCTGGGCAGCTGGTGGAGGTCTGCAGCAGAGCTTGTAGCATAGGAAAACATCATGAGAATCATAGAGTCCTGGAATGGTTTGGGTTGGAAGGGACCCTAAAGTTCAACAAGTTCCAACCCCCCGCCATGGGCAGGAACACCATCCACTAAACCAGGTTCCTCCACATCCTGTCCAACCTGGCCTTGAACACTTTCCAGGGGTGACAGGGGCATCCACAGCTTCTTTGGGCAACATCCCGGTGAGGACAAACCGACTCCCACACTGAGAGAAGCCACACTGGTGAGGATGGACTGGCTCCCATGCTGGGGGGGGCCATCCCAGCCCCCTCACCTGTACGGAGGCAGATGCCACCTGCCCAGCCTGGTCGAAGTCCAGAGAGATGATCTGGGAGAAGCGGGTGGCGTTGCTGTTCATGCTGGTGCTGCTATTGCCAAAAGCCTCCAGGATGGTGTAGAGAGCCTGCCACTTCTCCGCTGCAGGAAGAGAAGCAGGGCGGTGGGGTGCAGGGGCTGTGCGGCGGGCGGGCAGCTGGAGCTGGCACTGCCGGTGCTGCTGCTCCTGTGCCATGCTCCGCACCATGGCAGCCCTCAAGAGTGCGGCAAAGGCACCGGCGTGAGGCAGTGACAGCCCATGTGGTGCGTGTCCAGCCGCTGCCACGTGCGGGGGGCTGTGAGTGCAAAGCAAGGGGCGTGCGCAGGCAGCACACGGGGACCCCACAACCTGCTGGGGACTCACCGGAGAAGACCTTGCCGGTGCTGCCGGCGATGGTGGCGAGGTACTGGACCAGGTGCTGGCAGTTGGTGGTCTTCCCGCTGCCGCTGGCGCCCAGCAGCACGATGGCCTGGTCCTGGCGGCTCATCAGCATGCTGCGGTACGCGGCCTGGGCCACCGCGTAGATGTGCGGGGACGTGTCCTCCCTGCGGCACCCCTTGAACATGTGCATGACCTGGTGGGGACAGGGCAGGTGAGCGAGGGTCAGCACCCTGCCACCCCACAGCTCCCCCTGCACGATGCCACAGCTCCCAGCCGCCTGTCCCCTCTGGTGTGCCCCCCGCAGCACGGTCACCTTCTCAGAGTACATGGAGGGGGAGCTCAGCGGGTTGATGATGACCATGGTGGGCCCGGCGTAGGTGTGCAGGAGGTTGCCACCGTAGCGCTGCCGCAGCGTGTGCAGCACGCTGGACTCGTTGAGGTAGAGGAGGCTGGCGAGGTCCTCCACGCGGTCGCACGATGGGGGGTTCGCCTGGCAGCAAGGTCGAGGGGGGCGTCAGGCTGGGAACGGGGATCTGCCCCACTGTCCCCCCGCCCCGCAGCCCTACCTTCTCCACATCATCCTCCTCCACCTCCAGGATAGCTCCATCGTGGTCCAGTTTCACCTTCACCTTGCCCTCAGGCAGGGGACTGCCCGCCTCTGGCCGCAGCTGGCTGCCTGCGAGGGGCACAAGGTACTCAGTGGGGCCGTGCTGGCAGCCCCCTGGGGACACTGCATGGGGGATGTGCCGCGGGAAGGACAGGGCATGCCACGTCCCAGCAGTGCCCCTGACTCACCCAAGGAGAAGCCATCCCTGTGCACCAGCCACACCTTCTCGGTCTCGTACCAGGCCTCCTCAGCTGCTATCTGCTCCTCTGATTTGGCCTGTGGAACAGCAGGATGTGGAGTGGTTGTGGTCACCTGCCCCTGCTCTGTCTTGCCCCCTCCCCACATCCCTGGGGCTGGAGGGAGCAGGCTGACTGGCCACGGGCCCTCATGTGGGCCAGCCACAGCCATTCTTCACAAGCGTTCCCAGCCCCAGTTCCCATTTGCCCACTGTCTCCAGGGACCCCAGTGGGATCGGGGCTGCAGAGACCACCAGGGCCCTGCTACAGCTCAGGGCAGACATAAAGCCAAGTGACCCACAGGCTCATTCACCACAGCCACCTCGGGCAAGCCTGAAGAGCCTGAGCTCCCAAACTGCAGCCCTGACACAGGGCACCCATTCCAGCCACGTGTCAGGATGCAGGGACACTGGGTATGCTGTGGGGACATGGGACATGCTGCAGGGACATGCTGTAGGACACAAAGGACACACTGCAGGCACATAACGTGAGGACACAGGACATGGCACAGGACCACAGCATGGAAAATGCCGGGCTGGCGTAGCCGGCACCCGAGAGCAGGATAAGCCCTAAAGCCAAACCTGAGCTGCGGCAGGGACGGGGCCAAGGGGAGCTGCCGGCGCATCGTCCACTGGACCCTGGCAAGGCCGAGAGACAGGGCTGAAGGCGAGAAGGGCTCAGCCCTGCCCCGCAAACAGCACGGAAAGCGGCGAGGGGAGCGAGCAGGGGCAAAGTGCCACCTTGCCACACCCTGTGAGCACTCCTGGTGCCACGGCCACTGCTGTGGACAGCAGGGTGGCATGTCCAGTGCTGTGCTGGAGACACATGGAGCCGGGAAGGATGTTGGCCATGAGGTCACGCTGCCAAAGCCCTGGGGGCTGGGGGTCACTGCACTGACCCGCTCTGAGCTCTGCCAGCACTGCGCACCACGGCTGCTTTGCCACAAGCCATGCGTCCTGCCTGTGCCAGTGCTCTGCCCCTTCACGTCCTGCTCCGTGCCCCTGCCCGCCCCAGCTCTGCCACCTCCACCAAGAGCACCCCCCCGGGATGCCCAGCTTCCCAGCATGGCATTGCTGGGGAGAGGCACCCAGCCCCGGCTGCCCTGGCACCCTCCAGCCCCGTGGGTGCCGCGGCAGCCCACAGAGCAGGGTGGGATGGGAAAGCCTTACGCTCCAGCACGAGGCGCGGGCGCAGACGCCAGCCCAGCGGGACACAGAGGATGGCGGGGGGTCGCTGGTGGAGGCAGAGGGTTCCTGAGGACGGGGGTACAGTACCTGGCTGGGTGCCGAGGCGGAGGCGGCGGGGTCCAGCTAATGGCAGCAAGGAAGCAGGAGAGAAAGAAGAGAAGGGGTGAGAGGCAGAGAGCAGAAGCAGCACCCTGACAGGCCACAGGGCCCTGGCACGGCCACGATTCATATGGCACCACCAGGACATCATCCATCCCAGCCACCACAGTGTGCCTGGGCTCCCACAGGGATGCCAGCATTTCCCCACCCCCAGGCACACTGGTCTGGGCAGTGATCCCCAAACCCACCAAAAGCCCTGGTTATCCATCCCCTGCTGCCACCCAGAGAGGGATCATGGAGTTGGCAGCCAGGCACAGGGGTACAGTCACCATGTGCAGAGCACACGGCATGCCCAGGGCAGCCACACGCT